GACCGGTGTGGTGGAGATATGCTTTTCAAGTGACACTGTAAAGTCAGTAGCTTACCTGGGAATATTGCATTTAAGCATAAAGACGCCCACAGCATTCTTCTTTCTTTTCCTGGGGGAAAAGAAGAGTTTACTTTCCCATGAGGAAATAATAATATTTAATTGACTCTTGGTTATTTTTTGTCTTCCTCCTTTTCATTTCTTGGCAATTACAATGTGACAGAGTTCATAGAGCAAAGTTTTCTTTTTCCATTATTGCTTGTCTTGTAAGCACATGCACCCTCTTAGTATATGGGGGGAAAAAACACTTTCTGAATACTGTTTATCAAAATATTATTTCCATTTCATGTTGCTTACTTGAAGACACTACTATTAGAATGTCTTCCTGTTTGTTATTAACTACTTTGTTTATCTTCTGCAGTCTTAGAATGCATGTGGACTAAATACATGTTATTTTCATTGAGTATAGGTTCAGCATAATGCCGATAAATCTACTACACTGAAACTAGCAGATTTTGGCCTTGCGAAGCAGGTTACGAAGCCCATATTTACTGTCTGTGGAACACCAACGTATGTTGCCCCTGAAATACTTGCTGAGAAGGGTGAGTGTATATATTTATAATCTGTCATAAATCGTACAATTACTCTGATTTTTCTAATCATGGAAATATTCCAGAATGTTTCAACCTACTGCAGGGTCTTCACAGGGTAAGGAGGTTGGCTAGCAGTATAATCTGTGAAAGGAAGGGAAACATTTTAGCTTTTGACAAACATAAGCATGACATCGGTCATGTTTGCATTATTCATGTCTGTGGTAATATTACACTGATTTCCAAGCAAACAAGCCATAAAATATCATAGATGGTAATTGCTGAAGTGGGGAAATGAGCCAAAGTTCATGTTGCAACCTGACGGTAGTCAGCCCCAATTCATGACTGTAACCCAAACAACTTTCCAAGGTCCCTAATGATGCAAAAACATTGTTAACGTGTATGTAAAACTTATGTAACAAGCCAAAACTTGTTTTGCATCAGAAGAAATTTTGGAGATTTCATATCCAAAAAGATTCAGACCTGAAAAGGAATCAGTTCTGTTGATGACTCAAGCAAAGCTATTTCTGGTTTTTGTTCTGCGGAGCTGGGTTGCACATCTCCAGTTCTATCCAATTTCAGTGGAAACTTGGCACTCTCTTAGTGCTTTTTTGAAGGGAATCTGAGGAGGATTATTTTAGAAATATATGCTGTGTTTTCTGAATTAGTCTCCAATTGACACTGGCCTTGTGAGACAGTGTTTGTGAAACATGTTGAAGAAGAGAGGGACTTTGTGGGAGCTGTAGTTATGAACAGGCAGAGCAGCTCAGCTTATAAGCGTGGTGTACCAGCCACTTATTCTTATGCTGACCTCATCTTTTTGAGAAACTGAGCAGAGCTTCTATGTTTCTTGGACAATAGAATGAAAAAGAAACAGTTCCCTACCAGTTGTGAATTTTCTTTCTAAAATTGGACTTTTGGTCTGTCTTTTCTTCCTTAGGCTACGGGCTCGAAGTGGATATGTGGGCAGCTGGTGTGATCCTTTACATTCTGCTCTGCGGTTTCCCCCCTTTTCGCAGTCAGGAACGTGATCAGGAAGAGCTATTCCAGATCATACAGCTGGGCCACTACGAGTTCCTCTCCCCATACTGGGACAATATTTCTGCGGGTAAGGTTCAGCATGTATAGCAGACCTGAGAAGTGACAGACTTCTTCCCTGGAGTGGGAAGAACTCCCTTTTGTTCAGGACAGTGAGCAAAATGAACTTAGGGGTGTCCTGTAGGTCTCTTTTTTGTGTGATTCTGTGTTTGCTTTAAATTTGAATTTAGTCCTCTGGTAGTATCGATGGCTGTGAATCTGAATATTAGCTCTGATTGGTTTAATGAATTGTTCCTTTTCTAAGGCAAGAGCAAGGATTTTCCTCACCTTGCTTATATGAATTACCTCCGTAGAAAAAGGTACCAAAATAATCTCCAGCGTTATGTTGGATTGTAAAGATGTACACAAAAAACTCAAAAGCTGAGAGTGAAATCCTTGCTCTGCAGAGCACAATGTGGAGTTTCTGTTGAGAACAATGGGGTCTGCACGTAGTTGTTTTTTCCTTCTCGCAGGCTAGTACAGTCTCTTGGTCACTCTTCAAAATCAGAAACCCTAAAACCTCTCTCTCCCTATACAGTCTTTTAAAGAACATGCTCAACAGTATTCTATGACTTTTATGTTCCCTGGGGGATGAGATATGCAATGCTAATTCCTGTGAATCCAAACACCTAGCCTGATGCCTTCAGCATGCTTTCAAGATTAAATTCCCTTCACTTTCTCCTCTCTTTCTGAAGGGGAGAATGATATCAGTAAAAGATACGCTGGAGATTTAATACCTCATGTCACTAGTTCTGAATCCAGTAGTTAGACTATCTCCTGGGGATAGTCACAAAAATCATTATAGTAAAATTAATTAGGAAAAAAAAGAAGGACATTTTGTCAGCATCATCACATCACTTTTCCCCTCTCTCCTTTTCTTTCTTTCATAATAGCAGCAAAAGACCTCATAACCAGGCTGTTGATAGTGGATCCCCAGAAGCGCTACACAGCACGACAAGTACTTCAGCACCCTTGGATCAGAACAGCTGGAAAAACTAACAGCAGAAACTTGCAGAGGGAAGTGACAATAAATATTGAGCGTCATTTCCGGGCCCAGCGCCGAAAGGAAGTTGCAGATGAGGACACATGAGATCTCTTCGAGCTCTTTTAGTCTTCTTTTTATTGATTAACAAATTATGTATGTTTTCTTTTCTAAATGAATTGGGCCTTTAGTGTATAGCTGTTGCTGGCCATTACCATGCCTTTTTTTTTTTTTTTTGATTCTGAGATTCTAAAGAAGAACAGAGATCAAATTCCCATACACTTCCCTCTGATGTTACTTAGGGAGTCTCTCTGTTGACAGCAGTGGGGACTAGGTATTTCCTGGAGAGTATCTATTATTTTTCTTTAAATACTGATTTGAGCTTTTACATTACAAAATGTATCTTTTAGGTGACAAATGTTTGCTTCTGTGGCTGACACTAGTGATGACTGAAAAATGCTTTCTCTTGTCTCTTTTTGTGTGGTACCTTCCAGGAGGTTTGTGTTTATGATGTTTTGTGTTTATAATGTTTTCAAAATAGCTGTGTGCATACACATGCTGCACTAATTCTCTAAACTGTCTTTTCACCAATTCTTGCTAGCAATGGAGGAAGTGAAGGAATAAAAAAAAGCAAATATATTCTTTAGCTGTAGGATATGTTAAATAAGCAGCAAGATACTATTTATTAAGTTGTGAGGGAAGAAAAATCCTTATAGACTAAATCAGATACTTTATGATATCTCCCTTGGCAACATCTTTCATTGGATGTTCTCATGGACAGGGCACTAGACTGTCAGTGTTTCTGTTAAACTATGGTACTGCTATGTAGTATGGTAGTTTCATTTGTTTGAGAAGAAGTGGGACGATATTATGGCTGATACCTTTTCAGACTGTAATAATAACTTCCAAAGTGGTTTACTTCCTACTCTGGGAAGTAGGAAGTTAAGCAATTCTAAGGGAACTTTGTTTTCTTTTCCCAAAGGTTTATTTATGTAATGATAACCCAAGCGTTTTTTCATACTGATTTTTTTCTTAGGAGCTACCCATGTGCATCCATGACTCTTCCATGCTGACGGAGAAGAGAAATCTGGGAAGCTGCTTTTGTGACTTAAGTTAACCCTTACCTTCATGGTTCCCCTTTCATCAATGCACTTCACAGCTGAATTGCTTTTATACACTTTTTCAGTGTAGTTTAGCAGTTGTTTGGGTTTTTTTTTCCTTGTTGCCTTCCCTGGAGACTCTTTCTCCTTGCTTCCATGAGAATGGGCAATGGAATGAAATTACACTAAAATTCAGCTCAGGGGGAAAAAAGACAGCTTGTTGGCTATGGAAAGGCCTCCCAGGGGAAGTGTTCTTTATAATTTGATTGGGTGCAGTTTTAAAGAAATCCTGGTGGGAAAAATACAGTCCTGAGAAGGGCTGTGACCTAGAACAGCTTTTGAATCTCAGAATTTTTGGTGAACTAATCAAATCCAAAAAGCAAAATCCCAAAGTTGTCTGTTTCATAATGCTTTGTCCATGCGTTCCATGTACTAGCAAATAATATTGACGTTAAAATATCAGTGGTATTAGCATTGACTTCGTAGCTTGTAGAAATGAATGAGGGTATTTTACAATCGTGGTGCTGCTGCGCTGCCTATGTATTTCGTAATGAGAAATGTCAGAAGCATTTCAGAATCAGTAGTACATTTTCATAACTATATGAACCAGAATATTATTTTTGGTGAGTGCTAATATTTTGTGTGAACTTTCTGAATTACCAAAAAGTGTGGGGTACTGTCATCATGTTTGTTTCAACTTGTGACAGTTTTGCTGCAAGAATGATGTATGAAAGTAGAGACAATTTGGCTCTTAAAGGAGAATTGCACTTTCAGTTGAACTGGCTTGTTTTTAATACATATTGGAATAAGACTTGCTGTGGAGTTTAAGAATTTGTGAAACAAACCAGTCAAATCTTTACTGTATGCTCAAATAGTATGTATATGATATGTCATACCTCTGCTTTAGAGGCCCTGAGTCAGGCAGACTTTCCCTTTTCCCAAAACCAAGAATGGATTTAAGTGCTTTCCTGAGTTAAGGCTATGTGTAACCTCATATTCTAAATGCATTACATGGTCTTTTAGAACTAGTAATAGCTTCTCCTCTGTTAGTTTAAGTCTATTTTGGATAGGAAGCTGTGGAGAAATAGCTTCTGTCTTGCAATATTATATATTGTAATTATCTTATTTTTAATATAATCGCTTAGGAATAAAGTTTGAAGTGACAGAAAAAGAATACTTTATCAGCAATGAATCTGACAGTTTGGAGACTGTGTTGTGAGTTGCCTTTTTCACTTTTAAGAACCTGTCTACAGCCTTATTCATAGTGCAGAAGATAGAGAATTTGCTTGTAATGAATATAAAAGTAATTATTTTTTCAAAGATTTTGTTTTTCTCTCAAGTTCTCTGGTTCCCAGACAGACTAAATGTGGACTGTGCTGTGTGCTGTCACTGCATTGCATCTGTAAGTACAGACACTGCTGTGGCCACGCTGAGGGACTGGTTTGTTGGTGTGGCTAATAGACGTGTGGCATTAGGCCCTTCTTCTTCAGGTTGGAGGCTGGAAAAGCTTCCAGGTGCTTCTCAGGGGTTTTGCCTCTTTCTTTCTCTCTACCCTACTTAGATATTCCTTCTTTTCTCCCATTGCTGCCAGTGTTCTTGCTCTGCCTCTGTGCTGCTCTGAGGAGTCCAGCTCCCCAGCTGTCATGGTTTTGCTTGAAGCAATGATAACACATATGATTTTTGTGAGCTCAGCCTCAAGCATTGCTTGCTGATGTTGAAAGTTAGTAGGATTAGAGAGGACTCGGACAATAAAACAGTGAAAATCCCTTATTGGTCTCAAAGATCTCCAGTATCAACTCATCTCCTACTGCCTTTTCTCAAGCTTCTATCTTCCCACTGCATGAGGCTCCAGCGCAGACCTGATCTATATGCCCTGTAAGACAATTTCTAATACATGAACCGAATTCACACTCTAAGGGTGAGGATTTTTGCTGTTCTGTACTTCCTTTCCTGAGATTTTTCTAATGATTAGATGTTCTGGAGTAATCTTCCCCTTATGCTTGCAATTCTTCATTGGTTCCTTTGTCTACAGGAAGTCTGAGAAAGCTAAAAGCTGGGGAGGATTAAAGTCTCGCAGAGAGCAAGTTCTCACTGATTCCGTAGGAAGAAGAAATACCCCTCCTTGCCCTTTGTTAAATCTGTGGGATTTAGACTCTCATATGGCCTTACACTCCACTGAAAGTAAAACTAGTTAGTGTCCCTAGCTCTTTAGATACTAGCAATGAAGAAAGTCAGAATGTACCACTGAGAAAACAAGAAC